GTCTGCAGATTACTTGAATGATGTCACAAAGGGTGATGTGCTTATGACCTTCGTGAAGGAGCAACTGAAAGATGCCACCACATGTCTTAAGCAAATTAAAGCCCGCATCCCAGAGCTGATCGAGGCCGATAAACTGCTATGTAAACAACTTCTGAAAGAAAAACGTCCAGCAAAAGAGATAAAAGAAATCTATCAACCAATGATAGATACAGCTTCTGAGATCAGCGGTCGTCTGGCCGTTTTTGGGTTAGAAGAGGGCCTTTCAGGTGGTATCAGTGGCGACACGTTAGACCTAAAAGGCCAGTCTGAGTTTCTGGGTCGGGGTGCTTTTGCCTCTGTGTACAAAGGAATGATGAAAACGGAGAACGGAGACAAACAAACTGTGGCATTGAAGATTTACACCGAGTCGCTTAGAGCAGAAAATGCTTGCGACATTGTGAATGAAATTGAGCTTTTAAAGTAAGTTATTTAAATTTCACTAAATATTTATTACTTTAGACGTTTTAGTGTAAAGTTTTGAGGAATTGAATTTATGATTTGCACGCTGCCCTTCTTATCGAGGGATTTTGCAACCCAGCAGCAAACGCTTGGGGGAAAACTGACAAGACTCTAGTGGCGAAAAATTGTGATAGAATACTTTCCATTCTACCACTAGCAACATTACGAGTAGATGTTAAGTCAATTGACAAGATCGGTAACTAGTCCTTTTGTTGTCTCTTGCGATACTGGTACTACTCGTGTGGAGGTGTAGAGTGGACGATAGGTACAAGAAGGGAAAAATAAAATGTTTATATGCACAATAATGAGAGAAATAAAGGGGTGTCTTTGGGACTCCAGCTGTAGATACGAAATGCAGCTTGTCTGCTTTTGAAATTTTGCATGGGTATTTTTTTCAATATTTTGTCTTTGAAGAAGTGTTGGTTCTATGCTTTTTCTCATCAGAAAACTAAAGCATCCAAACGTGGTCAATTTTCATGGTATGTCGCTTCTTAAGGATGATGGTGAAACCCGCGTAGTACTAGTCATGGAATACTGCACCGGAAATTTGAAGGATCGCATCTTCAAAAATCCAGAAAGAGCTCCCGCCAATTCCAAGAATGGTGATGCCAAAAGAGACGCCTGTCGATGGATAAAACAGATAATTGCTGCCCTGACCTTTATTCACGAGCAAAACGTAGTTCACAGAGATCTCAAGTTGGACAATATACTGGTATGAAATTGAAAACGAACTCCTAAGTAATAGTGTGTAAGAGAAGCTCGTAAATTTTATTTGTGACCAAGCTTTCTAGACGAGTATTGTTCATTTAAGAGTCATGCTCCTTGACACCTCTTCAGTGCACGAAACGCGAAAACAAAAAAAAGAAAAAAAAAGAGAACTATTACTGCCAACATTGGGCTTCTTTTATCTAACGTTTAATCAGTTAAGTCAATCAAATTATGGTAAAAGAGCAAATTATAATTCTTTTTACCAGAGATTTAGTGACTCGTCCCGTCCTCAGACAGAATCCTCCAACGAATTAATTTCTATAGTGAAGACTATGTCATAGCACAAGATAATACGGCTTTTATTAATCTTTTTCTTTGTCCTTCACTATAAAAGTTGTCATCGGAAAATGCAGCGAAGATTACCGACGTTGGCGTTTCCAAGGCTGCGGAACATATCACAGGAACTTTGGCAGGAACACCTGTTTATATGGCGCCAGAAGTGTTTCATTCTCAACTGCATGACAGCAAAGCAGACATGTACAGCCTTGGGATAATTTTGTGGGAGATGTGGTATGGACTGCAGGCCTTCAGTGAAGTCCGTAACTCAACCGATCTTGTAGCTTTCTTTGCCATGGTGGACAAGGGCCTGCGCCCAGTACATGTGAAAGGCTGTAAACAGCCCCCACGCCGCTGGGAAGAGTTGATGCAGAGTTGCTGGAGCAAAAAATCAGAGCAACGCCCATCAGCCTCACATTGCCTAAAGGAAGCTATTGAACTTTATAAAGAGGCCGTGCCGGAACTCCTGTAAATTTTGGTACATCTCAATATATTACCTCAGCAATCATTTTTGCGAGACATTGACTGAGTGAAGACGCTAATTGTTACTCAAAGAATTATGAAGAGGTTCTTAATAATACACTGTTAGTTTCTGCCAACGAGTTTTTTCTCGGCTTTGCAATCAAAATTCTTCGTAAATATCAGATTTATGTATATATTCAGAGGCTTAGGCTTAAAAGAACACGTCATTGGATCATCATCCATTTTAATCACGAGACGTGGTAACGAAAGATAATTCTTCTTCTTGATAGCTTTTAGTTGATAAATTAAAAAGACCGTTGCGACTTTTTTGTAGGATACCAGCCGATACTAATATTCACACGAATATTTGCAGATTTTCACTTAGTCATTAGAATTTCCACTGCGTAGCCTTAACAAAGGAAAAGAAATTGTATAATGACGTCGAGGTTATTTTTTGCTGATCTCGAATTAAGGGAAGCTTTTGTTTATTCTTAGTGGCGTTTTGTTTGGTTGTTTTTTTCAGATTTTATAACGCGTTTCCGAGATCAGACGAGTGGGCCATTCTTTTTTTATACGCAAGGATCCGCGTTGCATACGTGATGTAAGGGCCTATATACATCACATTGCACATTGCAACTAAACACAATATAACTTACATCATGTTATCGAGATAGTAGTACAGTATTTGAGTGTCATTAAAGTGAAAAAGAAGTTGTTTTTGGATCATTTTATCTTTCTTAAGTTTTGTTCTGATTTTGGGTCGCTCAACCAACACGTCTCCACAACGGTTTTCGTCATCCCACAAGGGCCCAAGAATTGGTGAGTTCCTTAGATGTGACCTGGGCGAAGTCCATCTTTTATTTGATCTAGAAGCTGGAATTGTGAATGATAGGTGAAATCTATCTAAAGAACCATACCAAAACTATCAATATGAGCCATTTTTCTATCGTCTGAAGAAAATTTTAGCGAGTATGTAACAGATCTTCCCCATCAGTTGGAGCCGGAGTATTCTTCAAGCAAAGAGAAACAGGAAAGTAAAGTAGAAGAAGAAGAATATGGAGAAGCGTCAGGTTTTAATTCTGAAAATGTCGGCCGCCAATCGAACACTTCATAGTGCTTATGGCTCCGGCTGATGGGGAAGATCGACCGCCGATTCTACACTTCAGAGTGCTTATAGCTCCAGCTGATGGGGAAGATCTGACACTGAAATACTCACTAAAAATTTCCTTCAGACGAAAGCATTAGAGCATCAAAAAGGGTGAAACACTTCCCCACAAGTGCACCGAGGAACCACCTCATCAACCCAGAGTGCATTGCGCACTATTTAAGATGGTTTTCGCGGCAAATTCGAAGTGGTTGTCAGACCCTTCTGTAGAAAACAATAAAAAAAAATCAGATCGTTTCGTTTGTTTTTTTTTTTTTTTTTTCAGGTCTGATTTTCGCTATTGCATAAATAGCGCTCTCTACTGCGAGGATCGTGCATCATACGTATCTAATATCGCAGTTCAAAACATATGAACTTCATATATTCCTCGTCTCTAAAGCTATCAATATTAGTCATTTTTCTATCGTTTGAAGAAAATTTTAGCGAGTATGTAACAGATCTTCCCCATCAGTTGGAGCCGGAGTATTCTTCAAGCAAAGAGAAACAGGAAAGTAAAGTAGAAGAAGAAGAAGAAGAAGAATATGGAGAAGCGTCAGGTTTTAATTCTGAATATGTCGGTCGCAAATCGAACACTTCATAGTGCTTATGGCTCCGGCTGATGGGGAAGATCGACCGCCGATTCTACACTTCAGAGTGCTTATGGCTCCAGCTGATGGGGAAGATCTGACACTGAAATATTCACTAAAAAATTTCCTTCAGACGAAAGCATTAGAGCATCAAAAAGGGTGAAACACTTCCCCACAAGTGCACCGAGGAACCACCTCATCAACCCAGAGTGCATTGCGCACTATTTAAGATGGCGGTCGCGAGAAATTCGAAATGGTTGTTGAAGAAAACAATAAAATAAAAAATAAAAAAATCAGATCGTTTCGTAGGTTTTTTTTTGCTAGACCTATTGAGAAGTACATTTGGGAGATTTTGAGCGTCATTTATAAAAAGAGTGGAGGCTCCCTTTAATTTAAGCGCCACCTTAGTGTCTGGTTGTCCTTTTCGCAAGAGAGCACTGGAATAACAGCCGTAAAAGCCATCACAACGCTTAAATGGTGTTCAAAATTGCATTTATTTTCTGAGGAGTCCTTTACTTGTTATTAGGTATAGGAACCACACAGAGATCATCACAAATAATGGATCAAGAGATAATAACTAGATAGATCCCGACAGAGGTTGATAGTCACAATTATTGCCTGGATGAGCAAAACCACTCTGTGCTTCGTTCTACACGTATTTAACGTTTCGAAACACAACCAAAAAGTGTAACAGAGTGTAAAAGGTCGAAACAACTGCCAAAGTATGTTAGGTGACAATAGACTTAATTACTTTAGGTGGAATGCATTCATTTTCATTATTTCTATGGGTTTCTTTCTTCATCAACTTTTTTTTTCACCATATTAGATTTCCTCCCCTCGGAGTACTATCGTGTCTGCATTGATTGTATACTTCAAAGGTGATTTATCGAGAACTTCAATGAGGTCTAAGACACTCACACTAGAAAGTGTATCTGGTAAATTTCAAAGTGAAAAATTTCCTAAATGTCCCTAACTTTAGTGGTTCTAATTTGTGGAAATATATGGAAGAAGAAACTTTACCCGATGCATTCTGGTTTTCAAAGTGTCCATTGGTTCTCACATTTTTTGTCTTTATTCTGTTTTACAAAAGGAAAATCTTACAAACAAATCAAACGGGTGCTAACACTGGCACGCATTTTTTTTGTCTTTAATCTGTAAACTAAAAGTCGTTTTTGCAAGGAAAAATGTATAGAATTCATTCTTTTTTTAGAATAATATTTTTCCCTTTATCTATTTCATAGGGGCTTAGTAAGGTAATTCCTCGCGAGAATGAATGTCAAAGCGCGTCCAGTGGGGGCGGAAGTGGATTTCTTTGACGAACATTGCGATCATCAGCAGAGGAAACGCGTCCTCTTTTACTTGCAATTGTCCTCTATAAATAAGAGACAGAACTTGTAGAGAGTTAAAACCCAGTTACCAATTACAACGTAAAAGGGAGTATTTAATGACTAATCTCAATTCTCAAGGAATGTAAAAGAACTTTGGATGGAATAAACTACGCTGCCCGCTCCATTACTGCCAGACCTAACAGCGCGAACAACGAAAGCGTTTAAAAATGTTTAATTGTCATGGAAATGAACCTGAGAAAATATTTCATATGAAAATATTCAATTCTGCTTGGAACTGCATATTCTCACTATCCAGTCAAGAGTTTGTTAAACATGCCATCGGGAAAAACGAAAACCATCGATGAAATCACCGATCTATGTTTCGAACCATGACAGCGCTCGGGATTTCATCCGAAGAGCTGACGACGGTGGAACAAATGAAAAGTCGGGTGAAGAAAGAACTAAATCAGTCTTCGAACGTCCCTATCTGAGCTGCCGGTCAGGTAAGCATTACGTGGTCTTGAAATGCATATAAATGCATAGAGTGATTTGATATTGGTAAACCTTGTTTAATTTCTTTAATAAATTAAGAAATCAAGTATCTAACAGCTATGGAATGTTTGAGCTATAAGATTTAGTTCTTGCATACACTAAATGAATAAGGTACCGGTAATTTGAGTATAATTGTCAAAATAAAATTGGACATGAAATGCAGAGATTTAATATCAAATCGGTCGACAGGAAAGTCGCAAATTAAACTCACAACGAAACAAAATGGCGGCTAGGTTACGGGAAAGTAACAACATTTTAATACACAATTTGCGGAAAAGAGTTAAGACCTAAATAAGCTAATGCAACATGGCGCGAACAACTGGCTTCCAGTCTAGATTTCTTGGCCTTACAAAAGTGGCAATGATAGATTACTACACCGTACAAACCAGAGGCCTTAAAGAAATTCTCGAAGGACGAGAAAGATTGAAGAAAATGGAAACAGCAACTCGACAACACGCCAATAGCCCATTTCCGAATTACCCTTGGCCTCATTTTCAAAACGAGTCCTGGTGCTCTCCTTTCATATGATAATAAGTTTTAATTCACATGCAAATTAAACTCATTTTCACAAGAATGGTTGAGCACCAGGACTCGTTTTGAAAATGAGGTCAAGGGTAATTCGGAAATGAGCTATTCCGTTCCGCTTCGCATACTCCTCACGGTCACGCACTCCCCGTAGAAAAATATCCGCGAAATTCGCCCGCACTGAAATATCAATTTGGCGTGTTGGATAGTATATATACATTTTGGTGTGTCGTATTGCTGAGTATTTGTATTTCTGTCAAAATACGGCACAACTCTAAAAATACTGAGCGATCACAGCAAAACGTCTAATGATATATAAGTTTGTTATCAACAAGTAATAAAATGATTCTCTCTCGTGGAATCTGGAATAAGTCAGCACTCAAAATGTTACGGCTTAACTCTAAAAATACTCAGCGATACTACACAANTTACGTTATGGGGTTCCTCCCTTCTCTCTCGAATAGTACCAGTAAAGATAGTCGAGGCAAATGGTCATTAATTTTTTTCAGGAAGAGTCGTCAGGGAATTAAAATTGCTAATTTTCATTTTAGAATCGTATCGTCATTATTGTCCCGGTGTTGGCGAATCTGATATCATGGACGAAATAGTCACGGAGTATTTGCCGAGAGCTTTTGCCTTCATCTACGTTATCAACAGTGCAAACGCTGGCGGAGTTCAGAAGGACAGAGTAAGTTTGTTTTAAAATACACATAAATATCAGGCATGCAGAACGTTGAATTGGGTGCAAAAGGTTGAGACTGAGAACAGAAAATTGAAATTAAATTACTGACAGGAAAGTCCCAACAGCGTGGCAAAGCAAAATGGCGGTTAGATTAGAAGCAAGTAACGAGGTCTTAATTCAGCGTTTGAAGGAGTCTTGTAAAGGCAAAACACCCAACAAAGCACAAACAATTAAAATCTATTAAAGGTCACAAAGCAACGAGGTGGAAAATTAGACATGGTTAGATGCTATTCTGGTTTAAGATTTAATGAATGCAACCGGGGGTATTACAATTCACCGAGCCAACGTTCCGACACTCCTGTTTAGTTTCTCCAACAAGGATGATCTAATGGTTGCAACCAGAGGTCCTACAACCAGAGGTCCTATACAGCCTGGAGATATATACTTATGTGGGAAATGTGGTATAGGCGGCAGGCCTTCTGCGAGGTTGATTACAGGCCACCAACTATAGAAGCTTTCTTCGCCTGGGTGGCAATCGTCCGCAACTCTTGGAAGGATGCCATAAACCCCCAGGCCGCTGGCAAACCATGATGGAAACTTGCTGGAAAAAGACCCAAATGAACGCCCACTGCTGAGAGGTGCAATAAAGAGGCCAATCATTTTCGTAAAATGTCCGTAGAAGAACTGTAACTTTGAAATTATTTTATACCTAGACCGTTAGTCTCAGTCTTCTACTCTATTTATCCTGAGTGATAATGTGCCATGGAGATTAGTCTTACCCAGAAATCGGGAACAAAAAAATTTAAAATTCAACTTTATTCGTAGTCAAGGAGGATATGGAACCAAGGATGGTGCTAGAGGAGTAGGTCATCCATTTTCCGCAGGTATTTTTTTGCT